TTAATGGGATTTTTAGGTCAGCCCAGGGGAGAGAGGTCATTGCTGAACCCCCCCCTGTGTCCTCTCCTTTCCTGCCCTTCCCCCCTCAGATGGAGACTTCATTATGTTAATGAACGAGATATGAAGAGAACGGCGCTCCTTGTGGCCTTGGTGATCATATTGTGTTTGTTCTAACATCTCTGATGCTCTGTTACTATAATGACAAGGACCTGATTTTTTTTTTTTTTTCTGAAAGGCCGGAAGAGTTGTTTGAAATTAGTAACAATGCTGCGTCTAGATTGGAGTGCTGCACAAACAAACATACAAGCAAAGCAAAACTGAATCACATAGGGGTTTGTAGTCACTCACCACCTGAGTTCACCGCAGCAGCAATAGCTGTGGTATACAAAAATCAAACAACACAATTTATAACGAAACGGAGGGGAATTCTAGAATTATATGCTAGATGCATATTTTATGATTTGCTGTATTAACGGATGATAAAACTAATGGCAGAAAAAAATTGAACAATTTCTATGTAATGTACAGATACTAGCATTGCACATATAGTCTGCTTTCTGTTCCTCCAGAATTTGAGTCCTGTTAATGTAGTGCAAAAAAAAAAAAAAAAAGAAAAGAAAAAAAAGAGATACATTTTCTTTTTCTTTCGTGCTGGTCTTGCAAGTTTGTCTACCAGTAAGAGAGCAAAGTTTCCTTCTTAGTCTTTTGTTTTCTTTCTTTCTTCATTTTTTTTTCTTTCCTTTTTCTTCTTCTTTCTTTTTTGTCTATTTTCTTTAAAATGTCACCTGGCAAAAAAATAAATAAATAAATAAATAATAAATAATAAATGAACTATCACTTTATAAGAATCATTTTCTAGTAATGCAAACAAATTATTTTTTACAAAAAAAATAAAATAAATAAAATTAGACTTCCTTCCGCACTATATATCTTTATTCAGTCAGAATATTTCCAAGAGCATTTTTGCAAATTAGAGCAGGACAAACTTTTATGTTTACGGTGCACATCTGTTGTAATGCAAGCATATTTGGCAAGCGATTCATCACCATGACAGTAGCTATGGTTCTAGAAGTCAAGAGATGTCAATAGAACTAGTGGGGCTTCTGCATGTGAAAACAGAAAACAAAAAACATGGTATCCCATAGGCATTAAAGTGCTGAATGCTCCATCTGATCCCCAAGTGGGCACCTGCACTACCGATTTTAAAGGAAATTCACTCCCTTGTAGTAAGAATCAAAAGGTCAAGTTATTTTTAAGTGATTAAAAAAAAATCTTCTGTTTGCTAACAGGAACATTTATTTATTTGACAGGATTTTAAGTAATATAGGAATACAAGAGGTAAATTAGCAGCACATATAATTTTCTTTTTAAATTTACGATCCATTTTGTATGGTCTCAAAGTTGGATGACCTCATTACTAATATTTGTTGTAAAAGTGAAACTTGTTTGCCAACCAATAAACAACTGATTGAGATTTAGTAGATATTGTATTGATGTATGTACTATATGATTGATTATTCTTTTTATTTTTCTCACCTTTCTTTCCTTCTGTTTTCAGTATACAAACTTTTCCTAATCCTCTATGGCCCAAATGAGCCAGGCAAAAGAAATTAATCTGCCGGAATGAATAACTTAAGCACAAAATCACACAGTTTTTGCAGACAGAGTAAACCAGAAAAATGGGATGGGCATGTTTATGTTGGCCGAAATAAGATGCATAACTTATTTTTGAGCACGTTAATATATAGGTTACTATGTGCTTATTTTTAAAGCAGCTACAGTCTCTTGAGCTTATTATAAAAGCCAATTCAATCAGAGATTTAAGTATTAAATTGGGGGGAGTGGAGGTGGATCATATAATTTCCTTCCTTGTAAACTCCATTTTGATGTTAGAAATTTAAATTCACTCAAGTGGCAAAATAACAGAGTAACAGCAAAGAGAATATCCATTTTGTAATGGTGGTATAAGACATTTTAATGCTAATTTTAAAGCGAGAATGAATTTGCCAAATTATTATTTCTCTTGCAGTATGTAATACCTTGGTGATTTCTTTTTCCTTTTCATTTCTCCCAAACCTAAACACCTACCACCTATAAGTTGATTTCTTAAATGAAGATGTGAAAGAATAGTTTAGAGAATAGCCAGTAATCTATAGTTTTAAAATATATGACAAAAGGAAACGTTTTGTGCTGGGTCAGAGTACATCCTAACCTATATCACCTCAAGATATCTTATGCATTCTTCCTTTTTAGTCACTCGACCAGAGTATTTTTTAAGTCTACATATTTTCTTTAAATTGTAGGAGAACCACAAACTTTAACAGAAGTTAACCACAAGCTTTAACAGAATTTAAAAGATGCCTTGTTTTTTTACCACCTTTGGTTGCCTCAATATTTTACCAATTATTATTTTCTAGTGAAATAATGTTGTAATAACATTTTAGACTTGAATTTGTTTTTCTCTCTGAGGTCTATTTCACGTGATGAAGTTTTCTCATGCCACACTATGGCGACATTAGCACCTGAAAGGTGGTTAATCTACCTGGGACATAGAGTACATTTGGTAATGAAAGAACCCTTGTCAGACATGTTTAAGGTAACTCCATGTGGCCTGTAGGTTATGGGTACTTACGCTTGTTTTGCCAACCCAACAGTAATCTATATGAGAGCAACTCTGTCATTAAGAAGCTAGTTTCAAGATCAATGGGGAAACTACCTCAAATCCAGCTTGCTGATGCTGCCAATTCTGATTGTCTAATGTTGCTACCTCCCTGCCCACTAACTTTTGTGTTTCATTATATGGAAATTTGAAGCAGGTAGCCCCCGCTGCTCCCCCCCCCCTCCAGCTCTCCATAGACCAAGTTGAAGAAAATCACTTGAATACATAAAGGGGAGCAGAAAGCCATTCTGTACTGTCAGTTACTACCAAGTTCCTAAGATGAAAGCGTAAGGTTTTTGAACTCTCATACATCATAACTGGCTTTTAGAGTAAACCGGAAAAGACTTAAGATCCTGAGACTGTCACAAGAAGAGATTGTTCCCCCAAGTTTTATGTGATGATAATAAAAACAAACAGTGAGTGGATAAAGGAGGTGATTATCCATTTCTATAGAAACCTGTGTATATCTAACATGCTCATTCAGTCCTCTTTACACTAGCAAGAATTGCATTCCTGAACCTGAATCTTTTTTATGTGCATTTTCATATGTAACTATTGATAAATTAATAATTTTAGAAGATGCCTTGTTTTTTTTTTACCACCTTTGGTTGATGATATTTTTAATACCCTGTAACATTCATGACATTATCTGCATATTTTTGATGTGTTTATCTGATTTTCCATGAAGAAGTAGATTTGCATCAAACAGATAGACACATTATCTAATAGCTGTAAGAGTTATGCCAATAAAAACAAACCAATTATTATTTCCTAGTGAAATAATGTTCTAATAACATTTTAGACTTGAATTTGTTTTTCTCTCTGAGGTCTATTTCACATGATAACTTACCAGGGCATTAACTAACTGCATGTTTAGTTGATTCAGAAACTGTGGGAATATTGCATAGTTCATGTCCCTAAATAATAATATTTATGGAGAAATCTAAGTTTTGTGAAGGAGAATTAGGTTGAAGTTCCAATTAAATTTTTTATCATCCCTCTTTGTTTCCACATTATTAAAATTAAAAACATGATAATTGAATAATAAATTGTTATGCTAAAATTATTATAATGACAAAAAAAGAACTGGCATGAGAACAAATATATTGAAGTAAAAATAACCAGGAAAATTAATCAAATGCAGGTAACAGAAATACCCTTAACTTCCTATAAAAAAATTTCACAATGACTAAATTAAAATGTAGTTTATGATCTGTATTTTTTAAATTCCCATTAATCTAAAAATGTTGACATATCAATGAAAATTTTTCAGATTTAGCGTTTTTAACTTTTTTAATATTAACTCACTGAATGTGATGAGACTTTTCATGATAATGGAGGTAAGCATATGAGTAAATTATTAATATTTACAAAGGACCCATAGACTTAATTTTGGGCAATAATTTTAGGCTTTTTCCCCCTACACATGTTTGAACCACTGACCAGTTTCCTCACTTTAAAAAATGGCATTAAAAACTTTAAAGACTGACTTTCTTATTATTGTAGAGTCCAAAAGGAAGAGGAAAAATATTTTTTGGATTGTCTAAAGACCAACTCCAAATTAATCATCATCTCCTATTAGTGAAAGGATAATCAGTTTTTAGAAGTTGCCCCTCAGTACTGTACCAAAGTGCCACTGCTTAGGATGTTTGAGGCAGGGAAAAGAAAAACAAAACAGTACAGAGCTACTGTGCATGTCAATTCAAATTTAGAGAGGGAGAAAAAGAAGTCAACCCCTAATTTAATTTTGAGCAATTCTGAAAATATTGA